GATCATTAAAGATTGGATGCTCTTTGATAGCATTTGACTTGAAAGCTATTTTTATTTCAGTTTATTTAATCAGATCATTTAAGGATAAAATGAGAGGCAGTGTTTAGTTATCTTTTAGGTTTTAGATAATGATTTGGATATATATAATGAAAGCAATTAAGAAATTACATGTTCATATAAAGCATCAGACATATTGAAAATCAGAGACTTTTTGGTGTCTACTATTTTTAAGTTTTTCTAACATATTTTTGCATATGCACTTCAGTGAAAATCTTATGCTCATTGATGTTACTGGAGATGGTGTAATAACATTAGAAAAGGACATCTGTTGATGCTTATTATCCATTTTCTTTTGCAGGCATAGTGTCAGCTTGTTGGGCTGCTTTGGTGTACCACGGCAAACAAGGTTATGTTGATTATACAAGGAGTATCATCCAAACTACTAGAAAGATAGAAGAAGGGTTAGAATTTTATTACTGTAAAACAGTTAGTGATATAAAGAATATGGATTTAGATTTCTTGAATGTATTAGATATCAAATAAATTTTCATTATGGACAAAAAAGGAGTTGTTAGGAGCAACACAAAATGATCCAGCTCATTTAGACTACCTTGACTTATGATGTTGGTCTCTTCATTCACATTTTGCTTATCCCATATCAAGGTGTCGCAACATCAAAGGAGTCTTTGTGTATGGCAAGCCAGAAGTATCAGTTGTTGCCTTAGGGTCCAATGACTATAACATCTATCAGCTCTCGGATAGAATGGGCAAGAGAGGCTGGAATTTAAATGCTTTGCAGTACCCTGCTAGGTGAGTTTTTTTTATAAAGCATTGTTTTCCCTTATCACAGCCATGACTTTCTTTCCTTTTCATGATATTAGAAGCCAAATGTGTAATGTCATCAGAATGTGTTATGTGATGTTTTATCATCATTTTTTCCAGCATCCACATTGCAGTGACAGTCCTGCATACCCATCCAGGTGTTGCTGAGCGTTTCATCAAAGACATAAACGAATTGTCTGCAGAGCTCCTTGCAAACCCACCAAAAGATTCTGGTGGAAGTGTAAGTAATTGTGTTATATTTTATGGATGCTTTTAATGCACCAAAAGAGGAAAGGATGTGAAAATCATATTCTTAGAAGTATAGATTGCCTTACGCTAATAGGAACAATAAAAGATAGAGATCATGTAGCAACAGAATTAAATGGATTTCATAGATAATGCCCTCGCATGCATTTTTTTTTAACAGGCAGCATTGTATGGAATGGCTCAAAGCATCCCAGATCGATCTCTTGTGGGGGAGATGGCATGGTGCTACCTGGATGCTGTATATTCCACCAAAATATCAAAGAAGCCCACTATTGAGTAGGCAGCTCACCAAGAGAATAAGAAGCAGTATGGAAGAATATGGAAATTGGCTCTTTACATGGCAGTGTATTTTCAGGAAGTAATTTACTGCTCGTTTCCAAACTATCATTAACAGTTGTTATATAATATCACTTGTAAAGGTTTAACAAGAAACAGTAAAGGATGTCAATTAAATGAAGTACATTGTAATTTTGGCAAGTTTGAGAGTATCATAAGCAATTATTCTGGTATTTAGTGTAGCCAGGATGTGGTATTAACATTTTATGTTATTTTTACACGGTTTTGTAATGTGAAGTATTTTATGAGAGTACAGAGGGAGTTGTGTTTCAGCTCAAATTTAGATTAGCAGAAAGATGATCAATGCACCAGAGAGAACTGATGTATTTACTTCATATAGAAAATAGTATTGATCGTCAGATGAAAGTACCAAAGTCTAATTGTAAGCTTGTTTGATATCTAAAGATCACATATAAACCAGATGAGAGAAAATATTTAGAATAAAGATAATTAAAAGACCATTTTATGTATTGTACCCTTAAGCTAAAGTATGACTTGATTCAGAGTGCACTCTGTATGTAATTAAATTCAAAGCATTAAAAATATTTTTAGAAAATGAAAACTATTGTCTCAGGATGTAGTTTTAATAACCATTAGCCCAAAGTTTTTGGGCACTTAGTTATTTTAAGTTACTTGTGATACTGAGTAGGTGCTCTAGAAATAATTGCTTATTTTTCATTATCCTGTAATTAGTTACAATTACATATGAACACATATGTATCTTCCATCGGTACTTTGACCATTTTGAAATAGTAACCACATTTGACATGTGACATGGCTGAGAGCTTGAATGTAAACTTAGATGTGTTCTAGAAAATGCTCAAGTTAGAATTTTGAATGACCTTAATATGTCTGCTCATGCTTTCATAAAATGTTTACATCAACTTTCATAAAATACTTCCTAGGACATGTGCGGTCTGGAAGTTGAATTTTTTTGCTTTTCTATTTTCAGGTTGTGTTTGTTTGCTATCTGTATATGAGAGACCAAAGAGTGTCGGCAGCTTAAGTTGTATAATTTTAGAATTGGTGAACAGAAAGAAGATCAGTTTTATGTTAAATTCAATTATCTGTATCCATTTAAAACCACCAGGTAGTCAAAATATCAGAGCGCTATGGATCATTGTCAGATGGAACACAGATGCATAACTGAGTTACAGTGCCCATTTGTTCTTATTTGTACCTCTTTTAAGTCTGGTTACTGAAAATGAAAGAGTGAAAAGGAAAGATAGAATATGAGATTTTATGACATCGAAGGAAATAATGATATAAATGGAATATAAATGAATCTATAACAGCAAGTAAAATGTCAAGAGGTATACACACAAGCTCAACCTGAAGCAACAATTAGACTACATCTAAATGTGCCAAGGATTATACTGTATTGTTTATCATATTACTGGAACTTTTACTTGCCCATTAATTCAAAATTAAGGTGGTTCCAATGTAAATCTAATTTCTATGTATTCTAAAAGTACCCCCATACAGACGCATGCACTTAAGAACCTCACATCTCTTTTTCTTTGTGGCTCTGAGCCTGCCCCAGTCTCTGATTCTGTTGCACTGTCTGACTCACTTTTTGTGTTTCTTGTGCGCTCTCTCTCTCTCTCTCTCTCTCTCTCTCTCTCTCTCTCTCTCTCTCTCTCTCTCTCTCTCTCTCTCTCTCTTCTCTCTCTCTCTCTCTCTCTCTCTCTCTCTCTCTCTCTCTCTCTCTCTCTCTCCTCTCTCTCCCTCTCCTCTCCCTCTCCTCTCCCTCTCCCTCTCCTCTCCTCTCCTCTCCCTCTCCCTCTCCCTCCTCTCCCCTCCTCTCCCCTCTCCTCTCCTCTCCCTCTCCCTCTTCCCTCTCCTCCCTCTCTCTCCCTCTCCCTCCCTCTCTCTCCCTCTCTCTCCCATCTTTCACACACATATATACTTACATATATTGCGTTCATATATGTATTTGCGAGTGCGTTTGTAAAGTTGCTTGATGTAGGGCAGCTGTCCAGTATTTGCATTAAAGTGTTGTAGTGATAAGGAAAAAGAATCTTGATTTGATGTTTATGAAAATAAATCTTTGTCGAACGAGTTTATTTTTCTTTAATGAGTGGTATGTAAATATAAAAGAAATGCGATTGTCCGATGCATTTGGTATATATTAAAGTTATTTTTGTTTTCTTTTATATTTATACATTTTTCTTACCTTGGTAGAAGAAGGATAAGAGGATTGGGGAGGAAAACAGGTAGTGAGAGGATACCTTATAACAAAAAAGTAAAAGAGAGCGAGGTAACATTTTAATTCCAGTCAATATCTATCGTATTGTAAAAAATATATAGTGCTATATGACCTTGATGATTAGCTCATTTATTTGTTTAAACTATTAACCAATGTAACATATATTGTTCGTCACATTTTTTTTTATTTTCTATTCTCCATGGCGTACTTGCTCAAAATATTTCGGACTCTTTCGATGCCGAGATCTTCCTTTTGCCAATTTCCACGTCTAACCTAGATTGAAGATAGTTCGTATTTTAATAATCTTGCAATACTAATGTCAGGTTTGCTACTCTAGCTGGCAAATGGTCGTATAGTGAAACACGAATAATGCCGCTTGCTCTTATTGCAGATAAAGTCCGCTACTCACTTCCCACTCTGCCATTCCTTTTCCTTTTGTACTAGACAAAACCAACTTTTCTAAAAATGTTACCAGACAAAGTATATCGATACGCATTTGCCTTTCCTTATACTATTACAAGTATATCTTTATATTTATGAATTTACATGAATGAGCTTATATTTGCTACTATACAGTCCATCTACGTTTAGATACTGTATTATCCTAAGAAAATATTCAATGAACCTTATTTGTATCTTCGAGTGAATTGCAAAGAGGTGCCTTGCTAAGTAGGAAAAGTTAAAAGTGAATATATTTCGAAATATTAATTTAGGGAAGAACTGAGGTTTCTACTGTCCATGAGTTTTTTTGTGTTGTTATTGTCATTATGCAAAGCTTAGCTCATTTATAAACGGCTTAAGGTTAAGTACTATAGAAACCATAATGTAAACACTGCATGTAACGAGTGTTCTTCGTTGTATTTCTACACAAGTTCCTCCTGTGTGTAATTATAATATTCAGTCATATTTTTTACCAAGCGATTTTTGTAATTCGCAATCCGCACAAAGTGAAATGTGATGAGATATAAGCATATTTCCTAAGCTAAGCTGAGAATTGGGTTAACTTACAACTTAGATTTGAATATACTGATGCACATATTTAAATAAATAAATGCACATATAAGAGTTTATTTTTATCTTCCCCCCTCAACTAATTAAGGTGGTTCCACTGTAAATCTAATTTCTATGTATACTAAAAGTATTCAAATTATTTTAATCGTTGGATACCGATTCAGGTGTGTTTTTCTGGAATCTGTACACCTATTGTGGGAATCTGCAGATAGTAATTTTATCGTGCTAACTATATCCTTAACAAAAAGTAAGTGTTTGTTTTCAATTAAGAATATTTGCATGTTAAAAGTAGTAAAATCGAAACGAGATGCTCTGAATGCTGACCAACCACCCTGCAATTTGCAATGGCAGGGCTGCTTGTTCTTCCTCCATTAAATGCAAAGGACCTGAAACACTTAAGCCAAATGAACTAAATGAACAGGTTTACACGGTGTCTTCTGTCTTCGGCATCTCATTTTTTGAGCAGATACACAAGAGCCATTCGAAGATATCCACAAAATTGAACGCTTCTCAAAGATATGGGTGAGAAAAGGATTGGGATGTTGCTCATTCCTCCTTTTTCTTTCCTTCTATTTGATATTTTATTTCTCACAGCATTCATTTAAGCTTATATATATATATATATATATATATATATATATATATATATATATATATATATATATATATATATGTATATATATATATATATATATATATATATATATATATATATTATATATATATATATATATATATATTATATATATATATATATATATATGTGTGGTGTGTGTGTGTGTGTGTGTGTGTGTGTGTGTGTGTGTGTGTGTGTGGTGTGTGTGTGTGTGGTGTGTGTGTGTGTGTGTGTGCGCGTGTGTGTGTGTGACTGTGTATGCACATATATATATATATATATTATATATATATATATATATATATATATATATATTATATATATATACATACATATATATGTATATATATATATTTATATATATATATATATATATATATATATATATTATATATATATTATATGAAAGCCATACACTCTGCATGAGCGTCTGTAACTATTTCCATTTATATCAACGTGCCAATATGTTAGTATTTATACATATCTCTAGGTCTCTCGGTCTCCTCCCCTCCACCCCCCTTTCTCTCTCTCTCTCTCTCTCTCTCTCTCTCTCTCTCTCTCTCTCTCTCTCTCTCTCTCTCTCTCTCTCTCTCTCTCTCTCTTCTCTCTCTCTCTCTTTCTGTCTCTCTTCATAATGTGCGTGGTTGGATGCGATCATTCCAGCATTTTACATATACAATAAAGCGTCCGGGACATTGCATGCATCCGTGTAAGTACGTTCTAATATTTTTTCACTGATAGACTTCAAACGAAAATTGTTTTTCTATAATAGAAACAATCTTACATTTTGTGGCAGTAATGTTGTATTTCAGTATAAACTTAACTTTGACTACTATATATATTGCAGCAGATGTAATAACAATTTTATTTTTCTGCTTATACATAATATATAGAATACTAAAATAAGAATGATCCGCATATAAATTATTCATTTTTTTTCACCATTCTTGATGAATAAAAATAATGAAGCCAATGGTATGGTTATCTTTCATATGTAACTTCAGGATCACCATCATAATGATTATTTCTAAAACTACTTTACGGCACCTATTGCATTACCCCGCTGCAACCTGCCACAAAGGAAATAGTTAAGTGTTAGATAATAGTAGCTATTACAGCAATACTAGTTATACTGATATTTTTATGTATTACTGGACATGAAGATAATAATGATAATAAAAAACTCGAATCAACTGCAGGCTCCTCACCGCACGACCGCTGCCCTGTCTCTCGGCGGTGAGTTATATAATTTTGTTCATGTGTCATTCATTTGGATAATTTGCTACTGTATATGAAAATGAAATTCTTTCGTGGTGAGCATAGGCTTTATAGTACTGAATATTCATCATATTTTTAATATTCAATAGTACTGAATATTCATTATATTTTAATATCCATGATGCCAGTATATACGAAAGTATGTTTGTGGGATATGCTTGCCTGTTTCCCGCGTTGTGTTGTTATAACATTGTCATATCACTGATTCTATTTTTTTTTCTAAAATGGATTAATGTATTTGCTGACTAATATTTCTAGATTTCCTAGTATCATGCATTGAAGGCATTTTGCTTATTTTTCTTCTATTTTTCCAGAGGTGGGAAAACTGAAAATCATGATCTAGATATAGGTATTATGAAAAAAGTTTGCCATTAAAGTATCCTAAGCCATATGTTTATGATTCCTGTGATAATATAACGTTGACCTATATTCTAAATATCTATGCAGGTTATACTATGA